CCCCCGCCAGGGCACCATACCGAATGTCTCAGCCTGAGCTTGAAGAGCTTAGGAAGCAGTTGGGGGAAATGTTGGAGAGTGGAATCATTGTACCTGCGAAGTCGCCATACGGAGCTCCTGTATTGTTTCAGAAAAAGACTGATGGTTCTCTTAGAATGTGCTGTGACTATCGAGCCCTGAACAAGATTACTGTAAAGAATAGCTATCCTATCCCACTGGTTGCAGATTGCTTCGATCGACTGAGTCGGGCGAAGTATTACACAAAAATTGATCTTAGGTCCGGATACTGGCAAGTTCGGATTAAGGAGGGAGACGAAGCAAAGACTACGGTGGTAACCAGATATGGAGCCTTTGAATTTAAGGTGATGCCTTTTGGTTTGACAAATGCTCCAGCAACATTTTGTACTATGATGAATCAGGTACTTCACGGGTTCTTAGATGATTTTGTCGTGGTGTACTTGGACGACATAGTAATCTACAGCGAGACATTGGAGGAACATGTTCAGCATGTGAGGCAAGTTTTTAATCGGCTACGAGAGAATGAACTTTATGCTAAGCCGTCTAAATGCTCATTTGCTCAGACATTTATCCGTTTCTTGGGTCACATCATTGAACAAGGCAAAATTCGCATAGATTCGAAGAAGGTTACAGCCATCAAAGATTGGCAACCACCAAAAACCGTACATGATGTACGTTCATTTCTTGGGTTATGCAATTACTATCGAAGATTTGTGAAAGGCTACTCAGAAATTGCACTGCCCCTTACTGAATTGACAAAGAAGGATAAGGATTGGGATTGGTCATCCCAATGCCAAGCTGCTTTTGAAAGGTTGAAGAAGTCCATGTGGACGAACCCGGTTTTAGCTTTACCGGATATGGCTAAACCATTCGAAGTTCATACAGATGCTTCAGATTTTGCCCTTGGTGGAGTCCTCATGCAAGAAGGACATCCGGTAGCATATGAGAGCCGAAAGTTAAACCAGACAGAACGTCGTTACTCGGCACATGAAAAGGAATTGTTAGCAGTTGTCCATTGTCTCAGAGGATGGCGTCACTATCTGCTTGGGTCTCCATTTATTGTGAAGACAGATAACACTGCAGTTAGTCACTTTATGTCCCAACCAAAACTGTCGAGCAAACAGGCTCGTTGGCAGGAATTCCTTTCGGAGTTCAATTTTATGTTAGAGTATCGTCCCGGCTCTAGTAATCATGTTTCTGATGCTCTTAGTCGACGGGCCGATTTAGCTACCATCTGCTCTATAGCTGCTCTTTCAGGGAGCGCAGTCTCCACGAACACTAGAGACCAAATTCGGGCACTTATAGATGGAAAACTAGTGAAGACAAAGGGAGACCGCCTATATGTTCCTAAGGGTGGAGATCTGAGGAAATCACTAATCACGGAATGCCATGACACAATTTGGGCGGGGCATCCTGGAGAGGAACGCACTTGTGCACTACTACAACGTGCATACTACTGGCCTCAAATGCGGGACGACATTGCAACATATGTAAAAACTTGTCTTATTTGTCAGCAAGATAAGGCAGATCATCAGAAAAAGGCGGGCTTGCTGGAGCCCCTTTCCGTTCCATCCCGACCATTTGAAAGTATATCGATGGACTACATTATTGGGTTGCCAAAAGTTGAGGATTTTGGCACTATCATTGTCATGGTGGACCGTCTATCAAAATATGCAACTTTCATTGCAGCGCCTAAGTATGTATCTGAGGAAGAGACAGCTCAACTCTTCTTCAAACATATTGTCAAATACTGGGGGCTGCCTAAGGACATCGTCAGTGATCGAGATCCTCGTTTCACTGGCATATTTTGGACTGAGTTGTTCAAACTTCTTGGTTCAACTTTGAGCATGAGTTCCAGTTTTCACCCACAATCTGACGGACAGACGGAGCACTTCAATTCTATGCTAGAAGAATATCTTCGGCACTTTATCTCTACTTCGCAGAAAAACTGGGTAAAACTTTTAGATGCAGCCCAGAAAAGAAAGAATTAACTAAAATTGTGGGACTTCTTGTTTTGTTTCTCGAGAAAGGAATAAAGCAGCCTATGCAGTAGCATTGTTTAATTCTTTAATTTTTGGTTCCATTAATTGGATTCATTGTATTCCTTTATTCTTACCATCCATTCTTCGTGGTGATATTAGTTCATGAAAATTTTTGGTGATTCAATACAATATTTATTGTATCAATTATGATGTCAAGTATAAAGTATCATTGAATCATAATTATATATTTTATATATGTATTGCATAAAAGTCTTTGTTTTGCCAAATTTATAAATTATTTATGAATTGTTTAATTTTATTTTCAATTACATATTTCAATGGACCTCGAGTACTATTCATTTCTTCATCACTCATTTTTATTTATTGATAAATTAAATTGTTCATAAATTCTTCCCATAATATGGTATTATCTTCGGCAACATCTTAGCAAAAAAAATGCAATTGTGCATGTTGCTTTTCCAAAACAACAAGTTTGATGCAAAGAATTGATTGACTTAACATTTCAATTTTTCAAAAGAGAAAATTTCATTGGGTGTCAAAATTTGGCATTACATTATCAAAAATGTCACCTTTTAAATTTTCTATAAAAAATGTCAATTTAGGACATTTTTTACCCTCTGAATTATTTGGATACCTTATATATTAATTTTCAAGCAGGGCCTGCAAATTATGAATTTGCACAACAAGCCCTCGTGTCAAGGACTGCAGCTTTACTTAGCCCCTTGACACTATCGCAGCCGCAGTTTGCCCAACTTCGGCCGCACATTGTAAATATTACTTCAAGTTTGAGTTGTAATTTTCGTTTAATTGTAATAGTTATTTTAATTGTAAAATAGCTCTGATATTGGTAAAAGATTAGTATGATTCCTCGTCTTTTAAACGTCTACTCCCGTCACTTGGGTTTTTGTTCAGAATGCTATTATAGGGGGTATTAGTCATTCAAAAATCTGTCAAGCTCACTGGTGTCCGCCCCCTGCACCAGCATTTGTAATTTTCTGCTTTCATCAATTGTAATGTTCAGTTTTCAGCAATCAATGTTCAATTTACTTTCAATGTATTCAAATTCTCAATTGTAAGCTTTCTACAAAATTGCAATCAAATTTTCTTTCGTCCCGACGCGATCGAGAAAAGGCGGAAGGTAGTCTAGCGGAGCAGACTACTGCCGCACGGTGTCCCTTTCTGTGCCAAGAAGAAAGGCACCCCGTGAAACTTGGTTAAGATTTCATATTTCCATTTTGGGTAATTAGCACAAAAGATCCCTATCTTTTAATGTTATTGTCCAAAATGTTTATACCTTTCTTTTTTGGCATTTTCTTCCTTATTTCAGCATTTCATTGTAGGAAAACGTCATTTCCACCATTTTTAATGTAAAATGACAAAAATAGCCTCCAATTTAAATAAAACTAAAAAAAGAAAAGAAAAATAAAGAATAAATTATAATCTTACTCCTAAATGTTTTAAAAAGTGCAAATAAGTTCAAATAATTATTAAAAGGCCTAATAGTACAAAACATTCATGCGTTTCACTTATAGTGTGTAAAACGTCCAAACGTTTCGAATTGGTGAAAATGACATTTTTCGTAATGAAACGTGGAAATAAGAATAAAAACACAAAAAAATTGAAACGTAAAGACCTTTTTCGCAAAAAGTATCAAACGTAGGGATTTTTTTTGCTATTAGGCCTTATTAAAATATTAAAAATAACAAAAAACTCTCTCTATCTCTCTATCTTCTTCTCCAAATGAAACTGTCATGTTAGAAGTGAAAAAACTCTGACCAACCATCGCCTAAATTGTCGAACCTCATACCATTGAACCATCTATTGATATTTTAAAACTGTGAAGAGAGACACTCTAGTGAGTATAGTCATTTGATGTGTTGGAAATGACATGGGTCTTTCCGGAACAGGTAATGCCATTAGTATTTACATTCGCGGGTTGGGTATTTTGACTTGCTATTTCGAACAATTCTATTGGCAGAAGGTTTCAAGGTTGGACGTTGGGTGGTATGTGTAGAAGAAAATGATGGCTTTTTGGTAGTATGATGGTTCAACAGTTTGGGTGGTGGTTTGCTAGAGTTTTTTGACTTCTAAGGTGGCTAACCCATTTGGAGAAGAAGAGGGGAGAGAGAGAGAGAGAGAGAGAGAGAGAGAGAGAGAGAGAGAGAGTTTTGTTATTTTTAATATTTTAATAGGGCTTAATAGCAAAAAACATTCATACGTTTGACACTTTTTGCGAAAAACGTTCCTACGTTTCAAATTTTTTGGCGTTTTCATCCCTTTTTTCACATTTTATTGCGGAAAACATTTTTTGACCAATTTGAAATGTAGGGACGTTTTGCACACTATAGGTCAAACGTAAAGACGTTTTGTGCTATTAGGTCTTTTAATAATTATTTGGACTCACTTGCACTTTTTAAAACATTTAGAAGTAAAATTGTAATTTATTCTTTATTTTTCTTTTCTTTTTTCTGTATTATTTAAATGGGAAGGTAGTTTGATAATTTTACATTAAAAAACGGTGACTTTTTTGCAATAAAACGTTGAAATAAAGACGAAGATATCAAAAAATGAAAAGTAGGGACGTTTTGGATAATAACATTGAAAGGTGGAGATCTTTTGTGCTAATTATCCTTTCAATTTTATTATATGAAATGACGTATTTATAGATTAAAAAAAAGTGGAAACATAAATTTCAAATATTAATTTAAATATAGCTATGTGGTATAATTCCCAAAATTGATTTTAATACCAAGTCATAGTTGTGTCCATTTCCCACATAAGCCTCTTCTTACAACTTATAAGCCCGATTCCAAGGTTAAATCCATGAACTGCTTTTGGGTACTCAGAATGGGCTTACCTTGAAGTGGGTAGTCCATAGACAGAACAAAGCTATGGGCCGTGAAGGGCAAACTAGTAAAGATAATATGATATAACAAAACTAAACCCTAATCAGACCACGACTCTCCCTTCAAATAGCAGCTCAAACACACATAAACTCACGATTCTTTTCCAGTTTTTGATTCAATGTTTGAAGTCAAATTGATGAATTAGGGTTAATTGTCTCTAATCACACACATCTTTTTCCAGTTTTTGTTTAAATGTTTGAAGCCAAATGATGTATTCGGATTTAAAATCTCACGACGGTCGTCTGAGCACGATTTGATGCAGTAATAATCCAATTTCTCTGATGGTTTCTTTCTATTCATTTCTCGAAACAGTTTTTTATTTTTATTATTTTTTTCTGTTTAAATTATTTCTCTTAATTACTATAAATATATTTTTTAATTTCTTAATCCTACTTTTGCTTTGACTTAGATGAAATCGGCGTAATTTGAATGAACTCACTGATTTGGCCTACTTTTGTATTTCTTATGATTTTCATTATTTCTAATTTTTACTGCCTTTAATCCTTCCTATACAACAAAGACAGTAGGATAAAATTTATTCAATTCCTTAGCATTTTTGGGGCTGAAGTTTGGCTCTTGGGCGACTGATACAATGCCTTTGGGATGAATCCAGCACCCGAGATCAGTTCATTCATTCAGTTGAATTCAGGTATGTATTTTACATGCCTACCTGACCATCAAGAAGGAAAACAAAAATAAAATAAAATATTATAATTTTCCTGACTGTGGACTGTGATGAATCTGAATAAATTTCAGAAATTTGTTTTTATGTGGGCAATGTTGAAAAAAGAAATTTTGGGTGTCTAATTGATTATTAGGTAGTATAAAAAAGAATCATTGTGCAGAAAAAGAAACCTTTGGAGATTATTTAAAGGACTAGTTATGTAATTCGCTGATTCGGGGTAGCAATGTTTAAATTGTGTTTCTTGCTGCTGTAAATAACTTTACTACTAACGGATAGAATTAATAATCTTCTAAAAAGGGTTAAGCGTGGCTGCTTAAAAGTTAAATTTCAAGCTTTACATGCCTATGCGAGTTCTAGGTTAAAAAACGTTTTTTATTTTTAATATTATTTTAAAATTTTAATAACCTTCGTAATCGCATTTTATAATAAATACCAAACATCTAAATTTAAAAAATATTCTATTTAATTAATAATATTTATAATTAGTCAATTATGCAATTTTTTTAATTTTTCAAAAACTAGACCACCTTTCATAGTTTTGGCTTTTAAGTTTCAACTAGACAAATCCTACTTTAGTTAATGGATTTATATGAATTTTATACATATTTTCTAAATTTTCAAAAAAAAAGATAAGTTTCAAAATCATAATTAGGTTAGATAGCTCTTAGCTTAAACCTTTTCTAACTCTTTACTAGTTTAATATCCTCTTTCTTCATCTAATTCATCCTCTGTGTTATTAAAGACCAAATCGTCATTCTCGAGTTCCCTTATTTCATTTTGATCATTTCTAGTACCTCTTGTAAGTTGTAAAATATCATTTTCCACCCCCCGTCAATCTTCCCCTCCTCATCATCATAACCCTCTACAATCCAAGATTGTCTATTAGTAACATCTCTTGCTAGCAATGCCCTAATTTTGCCCTTTCCTCTTCTTCTTGTTAATCAATCTTGCATTAAAATTGGATATAAATAAGATTGTTCATCCTCATATCAAGTCTATTCCATTTTTTGGTGTGCATAAAAAAAGGTACATTTATGGAGCAAAGCACATTCAAGTAATTATTTATTGGCCAAAAGAAAGGAGTTGTAGAAATGATGTCGTAGTAAAAAAATAGTAATTAAATTGTAACAACCTAACTAATACTTACCCCTTCAACAACACTCCAATTTCTTTCACAACTGACGAACTAATAGTCAAATCAATGATCCTTTTTACCATTGTTTTTAAATATGGTGTTTCATTGTCTTAGAAATCGCACCAACTCACTAATAAATATAAATAAGATAGACACATTTAACATTTTAACTATCGATCATCTAATATGATATATATTGAGTGGGAAACATCAATACCAACTTGTAAACTCAAAAGATGACTTACTCTGAAACGAAAAAATATAACTTGCCATAATAAACGATTAATTAATACATGTCTGATAGCTGGAACAGTGACGGATCCAACACTCGGCGAGGTAGAGCAGTCGCCAGTGCTGGATCCGTCGGAATTTACAGGTTAGAATTGTTGGATGAAGCCTTACCATTTTTGCCGTCTCCTGGGAGGTTGAAGGAAAGGGATGAAGAATTGGGCCACTCTCTCCATTTTTTTTTTTTTTTAAATTAGGCCCATTATCCAGGCCTGCAAGCTCATGATATGAATTCCAATTAAGCTACTCCTATGTATCCTTAAGAATTTTGCAAAAATCAAACAAAGCAAAAAAGCCCTATCTTCCTCCGATTGCACAGTCGACGCTGAGCCTTCGGCCTTGTGAGTTGTGATCTTTTGATGCCGAGCCTTCACCCTAAACCACTGCTTGCTGCAGCCGCCCCCTGTGTGAGCCTCTCTTATTTTATTTTTTAGTTCATTTTTTTAATGCCATTTTCATTGGAAATGTTTTATGATTTATGTATCTATGGTTTATGTTTTATGACTATGAGCCTGCTACTACTGAGGTTTGTCCGTTTATGATTTTTGAAATTTTGTTTTGGTTGGGCTGGTTGTGTGTGTTGTAAGATAATGACCTATATTTGTTTTTTCTCCTCTTTATAGTGTGTTTTGACAAATTTTATTTCTTTTCTTTATTATTAAATTTCATTTTGTTCATTGCTTCTAATCTTTTTGGTGACTTGTATTCACTTTGTATAGAAAGGATGCTATTGGCATTACAATTGGATTACTTCTGAACAATTCTCTAGTCGCATATTGTGCAAATAGTAGTTATGGAACAAATTATACACATCAAGTACCTACATCAGTGCCCCAAAGTGATGCTTATGGAACTTATCCTCAAACTTATTCAGCCTAGGTAACTTAAAACAATTCTCTAAATCATAGCTAGGAAATGGATAGTTCCTTTTGTTGGGTATCATTATATACTCATAGATTTGAGTCTTTATAAAACCACAAGTCAACACCCCATTTCATTTGTTTCAAGAAGTGGAGTTTCTTGATTTGCCATCATTTTACTTTAATAGTATAAACCGTTAATAGGTCTGCATCAGCATATGCACTAGTTTGTGTTTGGCATTGGAGCATTCTGGTCTAGAATTAGAAATGATTTACAAATTTACTTTTTCATAAATGGGGAAATTTGTGAAATGATAAATTAGTGCATTTACATATAAATTGAAGAATTTTTGGTATTATCCAATTAATTATTAATGAACGATCGTGCTATTGCGATTGTTGACTGTCAATGGTCAATGATCGCCCTAGCTCATCTATATCCTTGGATCCGCCCCTGCTGAAGAACAAGGTAAAATTCAAATTTCAATGCAAAATTTTCCGAACAGCTTTAATAAATTTATTGACCAACTTATATGGAAACTAAAGCTAGAAAACAACAATTTATATGGATTGTCCAGGTTCCTTCCTCTTTGATCAAATTTATCTCCATAAAGTGTATAGAATTGAAGAACGCATAAAATGAGCTCAAGATTTTTCCAAATGCTAGATCTAGTCATAAGATCTAAGATGCAGAAAATGAATGAAGAGATTAAGTTAGGTATAGAACTTATCCAAGTGGCTCATAATTTAAACCATTAGGTTGTGACACGAGAGAAAATGACACGAGATGAAACATAATAAATTAATAAGTTAATGACACGTGAGAAAAAGAGAAATATGTTAATATACCTGAATTGTAATTTGCATCATTGTCGTGACGTTCACTTATTGCTAGCTTTCTTCAAAGTGAACCTTCATATCTTTATAACTATTTATCCCATGATGTTGCATTTGATCATTAGAAAGAATTTCTCAACGCTAGAAATCAAATTATTTATTATCAATCAATCATCTTTGATACATGAATTCTTAAGAAATAGAACGAATTCAAAAAATAAACCATTGTATGAAGTGGACTGTCAAAGTGACCATTGCTTTTAGCATCAATAATGTCTAAAATTATAATCACACTCTCTATAATACTCGCACCCGAATTTTCGGGGTCTAATTATCAAAATTGTAAATTTAGGGGTTCATTTGAGGGTTAATCCATCTTCTAGGACTTTGTTGCAAACTTACCATAAGTGCTAATTCTCATATGTTTTTTATTAAATTCTTGGTAAAAAACTCACATAGAAAATTCTTGATTTATGCTTGATTGACCAAATATAAAGGAATGTGCAGCGTGAATGCTTAAATGTAGGAATGATGGAGAGATTCTTGCTCATTTCACAAATTTCAAGGAACAATTTTTACAATCATGAATTTTTCCTTAAAGATGCATGTCTAATCTTATCCTATTTAAACCCCTCATTCGCATTCACATTCACATGTTATAACTCACTATTATATTTTTTAAATAATATACACATTTATAAGCCGAGGAGGAAATTGTAGAGGGATCAAGTGTATATTTCTCTTTCTTTCAAACTTCACAATAAGTACGCTGTTTATGTTGAATTAGTGTTATGTTATGAATTTCAAGAAAATTATTATGGGCTCCATATGTTATAATATGATTATGATTATGTTAAGGGGACTGGAGTTTAGTAGCGTTTCACATAAGAATTCTTACCACCTATGTTCGGTAAAATTCTTATGTCTTCATTATGTTAATTATGATTATTATGCTCCTTTAAGTTATACACAATAATAATTCATGGCGTACTTATTGAGATTCTATAAATCTCACTCTATGATAATTTTCCTTTTTAGGCAATTAATGATTCAAACACAACACAATTTATTAATCCTAGCCTCATTGTCATCTCCATGTTGACTGTCTCGAACCATTAATTGCCTGAAAGGAGGAATTATCATAGAGTGAGATTTATAAAATTTCAATAAGTACGCTATGAATTATTATTGTGTATAACTTAAAGGAGTATAATAATCATAATTAACATAATTGAGACATTAGAATTTTACCGAACATAGGTGGTAAGATCTTATGTGTAGCGCTATTAAACTCCAGTCCTCTTAACATAATCATAATCATATCATAACATATGAGACCTATAATAATTTTCTTGAAATTCATAACATAATAATATTTCAACATAAGTAGCGTACTTACTCTGAAGTTTGAAAGGAAGAGTAATATAGATTTGATCCCTCTACAAAACCCACCTCGACTTATGAATATGTATATTATTTGGACTAAAAAATATAATAGTGAGTGACAGCATGTGAATATGAAAGAGCAGTTTAAATAGGACAAGATTATGTTTGCATCTTTAAGGAAAAATTCATGATGGTGGAAATTGTCCATTGAAATTTGTATAATGAGTAAGAATCTCTCTATCATTCCTACATTTATGCATTAACACTACACATCACCTTATGTTTGGTCAATCAAGCATAAATCAAGAATTTTCACTGTAAGTGTTTGACCAAGAATTTAATAAAAAACATGTGGAAATTAGCACTTTTGGTAAGTTTACAATAAGGTCCTTGAAGGTGGATTAACTCTCATATGAGGCCCTAAATTTTCAATTTTGATAATTAGACTCGGAAATTTGGGTGCAGGTATTATAATATATCATCCTAAAAAATAAATTTCATCCTCGAAATTTACCTGGAAATTCATCGAAGAGTTGTGGGTATTTTGCCCGCATCTCTACTTCTCGCTCCCATGTGACCTCTTCGGTCGAGTGATTTCGCCATTGTACTTTTATTAGTAGGATCACTTTGTTCCAGAGGGCTTGAAATTTCTGATTAACAATTCTTATTGGTACTTCTTCATAGCTTAAACTTTGTTGTAATTCAATAGATTGATGGTTGAACACATGACTTGGATCGGGGATGTACTTTCTAAGCATTGAAACATGAAAGATGTCATGTACTGCTGGAAGTTTGGGAGGTAGCGCTAACTGATATGCGACATTCCCAATACGTTGCAAGATCTCAAACCGGCCAATAAACCTTGATCGCAACTTACCCTTCTTGCCAAAATGTAGCACTCCTTTCATTGGTGCCACTTTGAAGAATACCTTATCATCAACTGGAAATTTCGGTCTATTTCTCTTTTTATCAGCATAACTCTTTTGTCTATCCTGAGCACTTTACATGCTGGCATGAATCTTTTCAATTGCATGCACCGCCTGCTCAATAATCTTTGGTCCCAAAATCTTTCGCTCACCATCTTCATACCAATGCCTCGTATGGTGCCATGTCAATTAAAGTGTGGTAACTATTGTTGTATGAGAATTCAACTAAAGGTAAGTGCTTCTCCCATTGTCCCCCAAACTTGAGGATACATGTCCGTAGCATGTCCTCTAATGTTTGAATTGTCTGCTCAGACTGCCCATTTGTCTGAGAATGGAATGCCGTACTAAACTTTAGTTTAGTTCCCATAGCTCGGTGCAGATTTTTCCAAAAGGTCGATGTGCACCTTGGATCTCTATCTGATACAATAGAAACAGGCACACCATGTAACCTTACTATCTCATTCACATATAATTGAGCGAACTGTCTATCGTAAACGTCATCTGAACCTGCAAGAAATGAGCTAATTTGGTGAGTCGATCCACTATGATCGAAATAGCATTGTGACCTGTTGCTGACCGTGGGAAATCAATCATGAAGTCCATACTCACATGCTCTCACTTCCACTTTGGGATCTCCAATGGTTCAAGTAACCATGACGGTCGCTGGTGTTCGGCATTTACTTGCTGACACACCAAACATTTCTGGACATACTCAACTATATCCCTTTTAAATATTGCCTTTAAACCTTTGTACATTTTTGTGCTTCCTGGGTGCACTGAATAAGGAGAGGAGTGAGCCTCATCTAGAATCTCTCTTTTCAATTCTTCGAAATTTGGTACACATCTGCCCTTGATAATATAATGCTTCATCTTTAGCTATGGTGAAATCCTTCCACTTTTCTGAGTTAATCTCAGACTTGATGTACTTAAAAGACTGATCACTCTTTTGATGTCCTTTAATTGTCACGAAGTGTGGGTTAGATAGAGAGAGCTGTTACTTGAATGACCACACCTGGTTGAGTGGTGGCAACCTTGTGATTCAAACTCTCAAATTTTCTCCATAGTGGTTCTTGTGTAGTCAACATAGTTAATTGACCTGCCGTTTTTCGGCTCAAGGCATCAGCTATCACATTTGCCTTACCTGAGCGATAATGAATTTCACAATAGTAATCATTAACTAACTCAAGCCGCCACCTCTGTCTCATATTCAATTCTTTTTGGGTGAAGATGTACTTGAGGCTTTTATGGTCCGTATAAATGTCACATTGACCTCCGTAAAGATAATGCCTCCAAATTTTTAATGCATGGATCACCGCGGCAAGTTCTAGGTCGTGCGTGGGGTAGCTTTGTTCATGTAGTTTTAATTTTCTTGATGCATAGGCAACCACTTTGCCGTGCTGCATTAAGACAAATCTCAAACCTTGTTTCGAAATATCACTATAGATACCTGTTGGGTATGGTTAACACTCGGGCATTTACTAGTTTTTGTTTTAATTCTTTAAAGCTCTGTTTACAATTCTTTGTCCAGTCAAACTTCACACCCTTGCGTGTTAATTGTGTCAACGGTCCAGATATTTTGGAGAATCCTTCAATGAACCTTCGATAATATCCTGCTAAGTCCAAGAAACTGTGAATTTCTCCTACATTGATTGACCTTGACCAATTCAACACTGCTTCCACTTTACTAGGGACTGCCTCTATCCCTCAGGCTGTGATAATGTGTCCAAAGAATGCTACCCTTTCCAGCCAAAAATCAAACTTTTTAAACTGGCATAGAGCTTCTCCTTCTTCAAAACTTCCAACATAATCTTTAAATGCTCTTCATGTTCCTCATTACTTCTTGAGTAGATCAGGATATCATTGATGAACACGATAACAAACTGATAAATACTCATGGAAAACGCGGTTCATCAAATCTATAAAGACTCCAGGAGCATTAGTTAGTCAAATGGCATAACTAAGAACTCGTAGTGTCTGTACCGAGTTCTAAAAGTAGTCTTAGAGATATCACTAGCTTTGATTCTCAATTGATGATAACTAGACCTTAAATCGATTTTGGAAAATACCACTGCACCTCTGAATTGATCAAACCAATCCTCAATCATGGGAAGAAGATACTTATTATTGATAATGATCCTATTCAATTTTCTGTAATCGATGCACATCCTCATTGATCCATCCTTCTTTTTAACAAATAGCACCGGTTCTCCCCATGGAGATACACTGGGTTGGATGAAACCTCTGTCCAATAGTTTCTCCAATTGTGTCTTCAATTCTTGTAATTCTTTGGGTGTCATTCTATACGGGGCTTTAGAGATGCGTGTTGAGTCGGGAGTAAGGTCAATTGTGAATTTTACCTCTCGTTCTGGCGGCATGCTTGGCAACTCCTCTACCACCCTAACTTCGTCAACTGTTAATCTATTTTCTTCCTTACTTATTACTGACATCAGGAGTCCCGTAGTGATTTCTAATTGTACGACCTGTCGAGCTTTCAATGCAGACAAGATGCGGGGTACGGTTCCACATCCAGCCATAGATAATCGAAATCTCTCTTCCCCCAATCTTTGAAAAATGACCTCTTTTTCAAAGCAACAAATTATCGCGTGATTCTTGGATAGTCAGTCCATTCAAAGAATCACATCGAACTCGTCCATGTCTAATATATAAAATTCCGTCTCCAATGATTTACCATTAATTTCTACTCTTATCGTTCTAACTATGTGATTAATATTCACTATATTCCTAGTGGGCATCGTTACTACTAAAGAGAATTGTGCATATTCAACCATAACATCCAGTTTACATAGAAACTTAAGGGCTATAAAGGAGTGAGTTGCACCAGAATTTATCAATACATAGGCTAGTAAGTCGGATATGAGGACTTTATTTGCTAAGACATTTCGATTCTGATCCTCCTCCTATCCTGCCAGTGTATAAACCCTAGCCTATCCTCCTAGTGCATGACCCTGTCTATGTTGGTTGTTTCCCCGTGGTTTTTGCTGGTTGCTCCCATACTCAAGGCAATACTGAGCTATGTGTCATTGTCTTTCACATCGAAAACATGAATTCGTTCCCAAAAGACAAGCTCCCTGATGATGCATCTAACATTTTCCACTGCGTGGATAACTCTTGTTGCCAACTTGCGTTGAATTTCCTCTGCACTTTTTGGCATAATCTTGTTTCCCTTAGCCCATGTTATCCATCCACTTTTTCTTCTTTGACTGTCCATTAAGTTGTTTTTCCTCCCCACTAGTGTGGTTTTCTAAATCTGCTAATTGTGCCCTTGCCAACACATCACGATAGTTTTCAAGCTGAAGTACTATGACAGTTCGTTTTAAATCATCTCTCACACCCTGCTCAAAATGTCTCGCCTTCTTGTCTTCTGTATCCACAAACTCAGAAGCATAATGAGCCAACTCTTCAAACTTCTGCTTGTACTCGATCAACGTCATTGAGCCCTGAGTCAAAGTGAGGAACTCAACCTCCTTTCGACTTTGAATACTCGTGGGGTAGTACTTTTTCAGAAAGGCCTCCTTGAATTCATCCCACGTCCAAAGATGACCAGGAGCCCTTGATTTGGCAGTGGTGTCCCACCAACGCTTAGCTCCTTTACGTAGCATAAAGGTTGCATATATCACCCTTCTCGATCTCGGGCAGTCATTGAATTCAAAAATTCTCTCTATACATATCAGCCAGTCCTTCGTTTCCAAGGGGCCCGTACTACCATGAAAGATAGGGGGATGCTGTTTCCTGAATTGCTCAACCACAGTAGCAGTGGTCCTAGTGTCGAGGGTAACTTCGTGCTTTGTTCAGGTTGAGGTGGCGGATAAGATGGTGGTGTTGGCTGTTGAGGAGGTGGTGGTGGCATCGTAGCTTGAACAAAAGTTTGCATCATAGCAAGAAACTGTTGGGCAAACTGTACTGAACTGGTTGTGCAGACTCTTGATTTTGGTCATTGCTATTATTAATCCTTGTGCTTCGGGGTGCCATAACCTTAATTAAATGATAGTAATTAGAATTATGTTATTTGAGGGTATAAAATATAAAGAAATGGCATGCTTTTATTCATAAATATTCATAAGTTCACATAAATAACGAACCACCAAGCATACTCAATGTCCATTTCAAAAATTGAAAAACGTAAAGTCAATTAGGCATCATCTAATAGTTCTTCCTAGTACCCTCCCTTTTTTTCCTCAGGATTTGGTTTCGGATCAATCGCGAAATACGACACGGGGTTGTATTCTTCACTTGGGTCTTCTTAACATAATTTCGCTCGTAGTCAACTTCGGGTATTGTTATGACGTTGCTCGGATTGAGTTCATAGCCTGGCATCTTACTGGCATCTCTAACGTCTTCACGATTCACCTACCACCTTTCCCTTATGCATCAAAGTAATAAATTAGGAGAGGTCTGGTAGTCGAAGGTCTCTTCGATTCCCTTAATAAATTGCCTCCAGTAAGGAGTAAGGGTTTGGTCAAGATGATACACGATCTCATCCCTATGAAATTGATATCCATTCGCCCTTGCCCCTCAGTAAATCTTTTCCATGGCATCTAAGTGTTGTATCAAATCGTGGTTCAGGTTTCTCTTGTAATTCCTATGCAACCAAGTAAAAATGATTGCGTCTCTCAGTTCGACTGGTTTGACCTTGTCCATTCACCATCTATCAGAAAGAAAGGAACGCAATTACTTTTCTTTGCAAAAGAACTTTTTAATATTTTTTTTTGGTAGTGGCAAAGGAATCAATTATTGTACCAGAGTTGATTTTTTTTTTTTTAAAGAAAACGTATTAATGACCCTCCACAGTTTTTCCCTTATTTTTACAAAGGTAGTGATAAATGGATGAATTAGCGTACGTGGATTCATTATTAACCTTCTTCATGTAATATGTGATTCTATATTATCGAAAACTTAATCTCTAGTTGAGTCATTTCCATTAAACTTAACATGCAATTAAAATCAAATAGCTACCATCTATATATTTCATGATTTCTACGTTAGTATAAAATCTAAGATTGAGGTCTTCTATCAATTGCATAATAATAAACACTTATAACATACAAAATTTCATATTTTTATTGACTTTTATGCATAACAAGTCTGAATAAATTGCAACTATATTATTATTTCGTCATGATATTCATGGTTGCTATTTTACGTAATAAGCATGCTTTCATAAGTGAGATGACATAAATACTTAAAGTGTATACATACTTGGTTCAAGGAAGTCGAGACATGGAGGATGACATAGTGGCTAGTGACTTAGAACAACTTAAATTCTCATTTTAAATATGAACTTGTTTTCAAAAAAATAAAAATAAATAATAAATAAATTCTTCTTAATCATTGGATCCAAACCAATTCTTGGACTAAAGCTTTTAGATAGTATTAGGTTGTTTATAATAAAGCCCAACTAAATAAATAAATTCTGAAATGCATTATATATATATTTTATTTTTTCCTGCCTTATTGTTCACGTGACGTGTTACCATTCATATGAACATAATTTTTTTTTTTTTAATGGAAAATTCTTAAAGCTCAAAATTTTAAAATATATGTTAAGTCTATAGGATCAATTTAAAATTTTTTTAGCTCTGATACCAACTGTGACACTCAAATAGTCAAGGATTTGGATCGTCACACTCCCTCTTTAGTGTCCTTTTAATGTTATTCTTCGCCTATAGTAGCTCTTTATAAACAAAGCCCATTAAAGGCTTTTCTTCTTTGTCAAAAAATCCAAGCACTTTAAATAGTAAAGTGCATATCCTCAAACACAACTCTATCAAGTTCTAAAAATTGTTTGGAACAACAATTTTAAATGCCTCTTTTCTCTTTGTACTCTTGGACCATTTCGGTTTATCTCATTTATTGCTAGTCATCATATTTCTCAAACTCTTATTTATTATTATTATTTTTTTTATAAAGAAACTTTGCAATGTTAAGAAAGAGGTTGCAAACCTAGTGACTCCAAGCCTAACTATCCTTTTTTTTTTTTTGTGAACTTTCTTATCAATACCAAAGTATGTGATGTACATAACGAAAAATAGTAAAGTATTTTGCCTTTTTAATCACTCCCTTGAGGCTATGAAGTTTAGAGATTCCTTCAAGTATAAGATTTAAAATGCGAGTGGCGCACAACATTCAAAACATGTTAGGTTTATGTAATTCCAACAATTTTGTGGCGTCCATATTATTGGAAGCATTGTTGGTTATAATTTGAATCACGTTTTCAGCCACAACATCTTTAATCCATTCATTAACATAGTCAAATATCTATTGATCGGTACGAGCATCATTTGAAGCTTCCTTTGATGAAATAAGCATGGTCGGCAATTTACAATTCACAAAAAAAATTCATGACGCTGCTTCTTGTTCAATTACCCTAGGTATTGGTCACGATTGAACATCCATTACTTTTTCTCTCTTCCTTTTAATTCTTTAAAATTTCTCGTCCTCTCTCCCTTTTCCTTCAAAATTGGCTCCATTTGTTGGTATTGGGAAGGAGTGTAACCCAATTTTCGTATTGACTAATAGTTTTGACAAATAGTTTAAAACTATTATTGTTAATGTCATTAAAAGGAATTCTAGTTTCATAAATCCGTCTTGCCAAATATTGATGAACTTCTAATAGCATTTTCTTAGAAATTGCGCCATTTAGGCCCAGTTTGATCCACATTAATGTAAGAATGAGAATTAAAAATATAGTTGTAACGAGCTCCACACAGGAGATAGAAAGTCAAATATGGTGGCTTGATATAATGGATAACAGTCATATTTTTTATTTTAATGAGCAAATAATGGGAAACGAACGAGGCTTACATTTTGTTGTATCCATTCCTTGCACTTGTAGAAGTATCATTGACATTGATAGACCTTACAAATTAATTTACGAATCCCACATTAATATGTCTTTTTCAAGTCTCTCTTTCAATAATAAAAAATTCATCATCTTCTTTGTCCTCTAGTTCCCCATCTATTGTAGGCAAAGATATATCCACATCTTCCCTTAACTTAGCATTATTCACTAGCTTCTCTATTTTTCAGACTTGATCCTTTGAATCGTCTCAATACACTTGACTTTTTGTTCTTCACTTGCCCTATGACATGATGTCATACATTTTTTATTGATTCCTGCTACTTGAGGTGTTAGTAGATCATAAAAATCTTATTAATTTGAAATGCATATTATGTGATTTTAAATCTCAGTGTTGGTAGATCCTAAAAGCCTTAATAATGTGAAATGCATATTATGTGATATGGTTACCAAGGGAAGAATTTATAGACATAAAATTCATGTAACAGTTATCAAGAGAAGATGTATGACATCATGTCATAGGGCAAGTGAAGAATAAAAAAGCCAAGTGTATTGAGAAGATTCAAAGAAACAAGTCTAAAAAATAGAGAAGCTAGTGAATGATACTAAGGGAAGATGTGGATATATCTTTGCATACAATAGATGAACAACTAGAGGAGAGAGAAGATAATTTTTTTATTATTGAAAGGGGGACTAGGAAAATGCATATTAATGTGGGATTCGTAGATCAATTTGCAAGGTCTATCAATGTCAATGATGCTTCTACGAGTGTAAGAAATGGATACAACAAAATGTAAATGATGTAATTTCTAAGAAAAAAGTTATTAGAGGTTCATCGATATTTGGCAAGATGGGTTTATGAAATCGAAATTCCTTTTAATGCCATTAAGAATTATAATTTTAAACTATATGTGGAAGTTCTTGATCAATATGACTTGGGTTACACTATCCCTTCCTAATACCAACTAAGAGAGTCACTTTTGAAGGAATAGGTAGAAAGGACGAGAAATTTTAAAGCAGCAAGAAGAAGAGTGGAAAAATAATGAGTATTCAGTCATGATTGATGCTTGAAGTGATAGAAAAAGAAGCATCATGAATTTGTGTGTGAATTGTAAATTGGAGACCACATTTATTTTATCAAGGATGCTTCAAAAGATGCTCATACTAGTCAATATATATTTGACTATATTAATGAATGTATTAAAGATATTGGGATCGAAATGTGATTTAAATTGTAACAATTCTTCCAATAATATGGACGCTACAAAATGGTTGAAATTACAGACGTAACATGTTTTGGACATCATGTTCCACTCTTACTTTCAACTTATACTTGAAGGATTTTCTAAACTTCCTAACTTTCGGGAGTGATTGCCAAGGCAAAAGTCTTAATTAGTTTCATTTATGCATGTCATAATATTTTGGCATTGATGAAAAAGTTAGTAAAAATGGAGATATTTTTTCGGGAATTACTAGATTTGTAATCTCTTTTTTAACATTGCTAAGTTTGCTTGATAAAAAACAAGAGTTGAGAAATATGATGACTAGCAGTCTAGCAATGAATGTGATAACATGAAATGGTCTAGGAGTAAAATGAAAGAAATGGGAACTTGATATTATTGTTCCAAGAGATTTTTAGAACATGATAGAGTTGCATTTTAGAATATTCACAGGACTAGCGAAAGTGCTTAGATTTGTTGATGGAGAAGAAAGCTTTTAATGGGCTTTGTTTGTGGAGAACTACTAAGGGCAAATGATGACATTAAAGAGATATTGAAGATGGAGTGTGATTATAGGCCAATC